AACGGCCACTTAGCGTAGACAATCGCCTGTACTAACGGCCACTTAGCGTAGACAATCGCCTGTACTAACGGCCACTTAGCGTAGACAATCGCCTGTACTAACGGCCACTTAGCATAGACAATCGCCTGTACTAACGGCCACTTCACTGCTGCCTTTTTTCTCTACCTGAATGACACTGATGGAAACATGACGGAACTTTCTTGGACTTTTTTCTGAGAAATAATTTATTTTGTTTGTTTCTTGCAGGAGGAGAGAGTTTTATTTCACTACATCGGCCATGGTGTACCGAAACCCACGACAAACGGAGAAATTTGGGTGTTTAATAAGGTGAGGAAACAGATGAGTATTGTAGATCGTTTTTCTAGCCCCTGCTCTTGGCATTTTACAGAATTCTTTGTACTAAGAACAATAACGGAAGAAAGGAATGTATCAATGTCTGTGATGTCACAGTTTTGTTCTTGGCCGCCGCCTGCAGGAGACCAGAGTTTGAGTCCCGAGTAGCGAGACTTGTTATATCAAGTAGCTCTGTCTTTCTGTGGGGATTTTGTCTCCCACTCAATCTGGGTTGGCCCTGTCAGGCAGGGTGAGAAGTTTGCTTCCTGAGTGGATCTCATCTGTGTCAGTGGAAGCAGGAAGCACCAACATTTTATTCTCATTGTAAAATTGAATACTTTTGTGCAAGACTCGGTCGTATGTCACTGTTCAAAATGGCATATGGCGTAGTCGTATGCTAATAATAGCTCATCCGTCAATGTCTGACAGTGACCGATACATCCACAGAGGGGAATATTTCACCAGAGAAATAGAAACATTGGAAGAAGTAAAGGCTAGGATGACTTGTGGCTTCTGCTGTGGCTGATGAGACCAAGTCTGGCGGAGAAAAGTTGGCCACATTTGGAACTTGTGGATGCGCGCACAAAGCGGTGGTCATGTGAGCGACACTCACTGATGGTTGTCCTCCTTGTCTCCCCAGAGCTACACTCAGTACATTCCCCTGTCGTTGTACGACCTTCAGATCTGGATGGGCAGCCCGTCCATCTACGTCTTCGACTGCTCCAACGCCGGGATCATCATCGACCTGTTCCGCGCGTTCACCGCACAGAGGGAGCAGGAGTCGGCCGTAAGTACCAGCGGGGAATTGGCCAACACAACCACACATTGTAGGCGTCGGTGGTCTAGTGGTTAGCTTACCGGACTCTTAGTTGTGAGGTTGTCGGTGGTCTAGTGGTTGGCTTACCGGACTCTTAGTTGTGAGGTTGTCGGTGGTCTAGTGGTTGGCTTACCGAACTCGTAGTTGTGAAGTTGTGGGGGGTCTAGTGGGTAGGTTACCGGACTCTTA